CCCCCTGTGTACAACTACAGTCTTCCTGTGACTTCTTCTCCCCTGTGTACAAACTAGCTTTCTTCTCTGTACTTCTCTCCCCTGTGTACAACTACATCTTCTCTGTACTTCTTCTGTCCCCTGGTGTACAACTACATTGGCTCTCTTAGCGTCTTCTCGCGGTGTACAACTACGTCTCTGTACGACTCTGTCTCCCCTGTGTTGACAACTACGCGATCTTCCTCTGTACTCTTCTTCCCCCTGTGTACAACTACATTCCTCGCTGTACTTGGTTCTCCCCTGTGTACCAACTACACTTCTTCTGTACCTCTTCTCCCCTGTGGTAGAAGTACATCTTCGTCCTGTACTTTCTCCGCGCTGTGTACAACTATCATCTCCGTCGTTACTTCTTCGTCCCCTGTGTACAACTAGCATCCTCTCTGTACGTCTTCTCCCCTGTGTACAACTACATCTTCTCTGTACCTCTTCTCCCCTGTGGTACAACTAACATCCTCTCTGACTTTCTTCTCCTGTGTACAACTACATCCTCTCTGTACTTCTTCTCCCGCCTTTGTACAGGTTTTTTTTCGACTTAATACTATTTTTAATCTAGAGTCCGTTTGGAGGTCGGGGCCGTGCCTCGACAACAGGCATTGGCAGCTCCTCGGGCAGTTCGCTAGGACACTTTGTCACGACACAGTAACGCCGGGCGCGGAGAGGAAAACTCGGAGACTCCTGTAGCCGACTGTTGATCTCTTCCTTGTTGCCTTGTTCCCCCAACTATTCCGTGCCGGGTCTTGGTGGTCTTTGGATCCGCTCGTGTTTTCTTTGTGTTGGCTACCCTCTCCTTGTGTTCCCTTTGTTCCCAGAACTTCTAAGTTTCTTTCTCCTGTCCGTCTCCCTTTTAGTTCCCTTGTTCCCACTATAAGTTTCTTACTCCTGTCCGTCTCTGTCCTCTCCTTTGTTCCCTTGTTCCACCTCGTAAGTTCTTCGTTCTGTTCGTCTCCCTTGTCCCTGTTCCCACAGACTCTAAGTTTCTTACTCCCGTCCGTTCTCTGAGCCCTCCTTTGTACCTTGTTCCCACAACTCTAAGTTTCTTACTCCTTCCGTCTTCTTGATCCTCTACTTGTCCCATGTTCCCAAACTCTTAGTTTCTTCTCGCGGCTTCACCTCTTCCTTGTGCCTTGTTCCCGCAACTCTAAGTGTCTTTCGTATGCGTCGTCTCTGGTCTTTCTCCATTTGTTCCTTGTCATGTCTCTTCTACATCAACATGTGTCCCCTCTTCTTCATGTCTCTTCTACATCAACATGTGTCCCCTCTTCTTCATGTCTCTTCCACATCAACATGTGTCCCCTCTTCTTCATGTCTCTTCTACATCAACATGTGTCCCCTCTGTGGAAAGACACTCTGAAAGTTTCAGGAACAAAGATTCTCTCTCTTTTTGATCCATTTCTATAAAAACCTGTCTGAAAATGAGCTGATCAGATTTTGGCCACTTTATGATGTCATAACGATGTTTTGTCTTGTGTAACCATTAGCCAATCAGCAACCAAGGTAACCCCCCCCCCCCCTCCCCCTTATCACCTGAATCTCCTCCTAGAGCACCATTGAGTTCTTTGTAACCAAATGTCTCTCAGAGGGGCGTGGGGAGGGGCTCCTTATTTTCATCTAAAGTAACAGACAGAGAATCAGCACTTTGGAAACAGGGCTGAAACAGAGGGGATTATGGGTAATGCTGCAATGATCTGTTTGGTGTTTCAGCCAATCAGAGACAGGCTCTGGATATATCTGAGACCTGTGATATTTTGATGAAACACAGTATAATAGGGGACCTTTAATATCATAATACCACAGTCAAACTACCCAGCAGGCCAACCTGAATCTGCTGTGGGAGGCCTTGTTTCCCGCTGATATTTCATGCACCGTTTCATTGGATATTGCTGGGAGATTGGCAGATACAAGGGTGGAAACTGTGCGAGCAGATGTGGAGTTTAACTCCCATGTCAGCTGAGGTGAACACATGTTTTCAGAAGCTGTGTTTCCTCCTGATCCACGGCGAGGTTCATGCATGCATGCAGGTGTTTTTCTTGTACACCAGCAGAGTAGAGGAGAGTAAATCAATCAGGCTTCAACATGTTGCTAAGGTGTTTTATTCACACTCTTCGCCCTGGCAACAGCAGATAACCTTGAGAGCCATTGCCATTCAAAAGGTGCAGATTTCTTTTTCTAAAGGCCCCGCTGAAATAAAAAGCTTTTCAATTTTCATTTTTCAACCCTTCCCTAGCTTCTCGTTCTTTAACGGCGCAGCACTTTACTCCGCTGATTTTCTTTTCCCTCCACCGCTCTTTATTTTGTCCTCACTACATCGGTCATCATTACAATTTGTTCCCTGAGTACATAGAGTGCTTGAACCATAATGGGGAAGAAACTAGGCTTTTTAATGTTGAATGCCTGATGTGTCATGGCTGAAGCCTGCTCTCACATCCTGGTAACGGTTGCTACCCTTCACAAGAGGACCTATAAATACATACCAGAAAAACATTCAGGCCTTCAGTCGGCACTCAACAAGCTGCTCAGGAACACCTTTACACGCATAGTGAGGATTAAGTTGGCTTTGCTTGTACAAAAATAACGTAATGTAAATACAGATTTTTATTCTGTACAGCTGCCATTTTAACTGATGTTGGTTTTTAATTGGGAACATTGATTACATTGTTCTATCTACCTTTCATTTGAACAAGTTTCTCTCTAATTAGTTAAAATTGTCTTTGTGTAAACGAGTCTGAAACTAGCCCTGAGAGAGAAACCAAGTGAATATCTTGGTTTTGTGGAGTTTTAGTGACACAAAAAGACACTTTTATTCACTATTTCCTTACCTCTTATAGACTAATCAATGATGAAACTAATCCTTAGTTGCATCCTCTGCGCTGTTAGATTTGATGCGGCTCTTGTCAGGGGAGAACTCCTAAATATCAGGGGAATAAATTGACTTACGGACGGCTTATCAACTCCAATATCTGTCCTGTATTACTTCATTAAAAAAACTATTCAATAATGCTTTTTCTCTTATCTTTTTAATGACCTCCCAACATTCTCACATTCTCCCTCTTAACAGAAAACGTCACCGAGATCAAGACGAATATTTTCGTCACCAGCTTCGGCCCGGTGTCTGACACAGAGATGGTGAGTTCATCTGCAGCAAACACAGTCAATACAAAGAGAGAGATTGGCTTCGCTGGGTAAACACACACACACACACACACACACACACACACACACACACACACACACACACACACACACACACACACACACACACACACACACACACACACACATACACGTCTCCAACGCCCACCCAGACTACTGTAGGTATTTTTAGATGGAAACATATATTTACATTTGATGAGACGGGCCCCACTGCTCACGCTGTTTCCCGGGATGAACGCTCCGGTCCTGGTTGTCTCTTTGAAGATTGGATTTGTTTTAGCTTCATGTAAATGAGGCAGACTGAACGTGGATGACATTTAAGATTTAATGCAACGTGGCTGGCCCATTCCCACTTGTTCATCCCTTTATTAATACATTCTCTTATGAACTATACGGTTCCACTTGGCTGGCATTAAATCTTCTTTTCCATTAAATCTCCCATTACACCCGGCCATATCCCTGGCTCACTTTGACACAGCAGTTGCCACTTTCCCATAATTGACTTGAAGAAGGTATTGACAGCAGTGCATGAATGATTAACGAAATGCTGCGAGGGACTTGAATAGTTTTTGCGGTCCATAAAAGCGTATATGCCAGCACCACTAACATCGCTATTATTCTGCAGGATGGAGCGTTCCTTTCCTGTTCATTTCTCGTTGGTTTCCTAGCTTGAAGCGGGTCGATATTTCACACATGAGCACATACATGATGCATCTCCACAGTGCTTGATCTGCAAAATCCTAGTGGATGTGTATGAAGGCATTAAGGAGGATCTGC